AGTCCTGATAAAAAGTTTAAGACCAGTTCAAAAATGGCAAAAAATGTTACTTTGCATGGTTGGATCTTAACAAGGTTCAAAGTCGAGCTTCAACATGCAGCAAGAAGAAATTTATTGAAAACAACTGTTAAACTGAAACATGCTGATCTACAGCTGATCAACAGTTTAGGACCAGTTGACCTTTAAAAGGCCAAATCTGTGCAACAATGTGGATCCATTGTCCTTTTCTGTCAGGTCGTCACACTGTCATGACGCTCTGATGGCAAAGGCAAAAAACCTTTTTGAACATGGTCGTGTTGTTGAACTGCATAAGCAGGGTCTCTCGCAGCGTGCCATCGCTGCTGAGGTGCACCGTGAGGTGAACAACGGAGTCTCAGGAGGTGCAGGAGCGTCAAACGGGCGCTGGCTGTGTCCAGACGTTGCAGAGAGCGTCCCTCGTGACTGAGGGCCCTCGTCTGTGTGGTAACCACTGGGTTTTTAACAGGACAACGCTACAGTACACAAGGGACTTCCTCCAGGAGAATAACATCGCTCTTTTGGACCATCCTGCATCTCTGATCTAAATCCAACAGAGAACCTTTGGGGAAGTTACAAAAATGGACGCTTCATGCGGCCGTCTTGGAGAAATGCTCCCTCTCACCTCATGGAAACACTTGCATCAAGGATGCCGCAACAAATTTTTGAAGTGATCAACAATAACGTTTTTGTTTTTTAGGTGTGGTCCTGAACTGTTGATCAGCTGTAAAACGGCCTGTATCAGTTTAAGCGTTGTCGTCAACGAATCGCATGCTCAAAGAAATGTTTCGTCTCTCTCCCGTTTCTTCTTGTTGAACCTTGTTAACATCCAACCGTGCAAAATAAGACTTTTTTGCCATTTTTCAAGTGGTCTTAAACTTTTTATCGGGGCTGTAAAACGATGCTAAATGGTGCAACTTTGTAGGTGATGGCATCAAATCAAATGTAATATTTCGTTTATAAGCTGGGAACAGACTAGATTGAGTTTGTGCTGCGTCAGGACTGTGAGGCGCAGAGGCACAAAATATATGCAACCTTCAAGATCACTGCGATTTGAACTTGTTTGAGATCAATTTGAAACCTTTTTATCTTTAAGATATCAAACTCACAAACTTGCCTGTCGGGGTGACGACAATAGCCCATATTTTACATCATCATTTAAAAAAAACAAACAAACTGTAAAGCTTACTCAGTTAATCCATATTAGAAAATATACTTTGTTAAATAATAAATTATTTGAATTACATCAAAAGGAAAGAACAACAACAAACCATATGAAATTCTTAATTGGGAAGATTTAATGGCGACGTATTCTGCCAAAATTTAAGCTCCATATTTTGCTTTATTTTTGGACTCCAGTGAAGTAGCTCTGCATGATTCGCAGGTCCAAGTAATCCTTATTTATCTTCCTTATTCTGGGCCTTTGTGGAGCCGCTCGGTTCATCCACTGAAATAAACTATTTTAGCTTCTCTACCTTCGAGGCAAAGGGAGAACCAAGAGAATAAAAACTGTCTCAATCCTTTGGCACACTCGCAAAGTGATGACATCTGAGAGCCAGCAAACGAAATCAAAGCATACTGAAGAGATATTTTATATTCTATATACCTCGATGATTATTGCTAAGTGCGATTACGTTTCCTGGAACGATCGAGCGTGACGAATCCTTACAGAGAAACACATTCTGTTCCCAAGACTTAGCAGCGCCTTAATTTGCTAAGGATGCACTTAATTACAGCCGGTACGCTTCCTCCTGTGGACCATAAGCACAGCTTTCATTCAGTTAATGGGAAAGGACAGAGTGCTATGAGGAGGCTTTGTGAGTGGCTGTGAATGTTCTTGAGCCAAACAAGCCGAGGCTCTGTGTGTAGCTCGTCCCCGAGTGGCTGTGCTGCCTAATTAACTAGAGAGTGGTTTGTATTTCAAAGCCATTTGGCTCTGAAAGCAGGCTGAATGGGAAATATGTAAAGACACACAAGTACGTCACCTCATTTGTTCTTTAGATTTTGCTTTTCTACTTGCCTGGCTGTAAATCTGCAGTTCTATGTTCAGCACAAACACACAAAGACAATCGACAGCTCATATTCACCAGTAAAGAAAACACGAAAGCAAAGCAACACTACAGCTGTAAGAGACGGACAGATGAGCAGGAGAGGTAATAACAGCTGCTTACAGTGGGCTCAAGTTCAATAAATCATCATTAGGGATGGGTACTGATAAGATTTTCACGATTCCATTTTCGATTCTCTTTAACGATTCGATTCTTTATCGATTCTTTTTTAAAAAGGAGAACACTAAGGTCGATCAGCTCAGAACTTTGTTTTTTATCTTCTCTTTGAACAAGATAGAAATGTAGGAGTAACATGGCCTTACAAACCCAGCAGTGAGATCTTAAGAGATCCAGCCTATGGCTCTTCAATGGGGGGTCACAGGGACCCCAGGAAAACAAAATGTAAATGTAAAATAATAAAATAAATATTCTTCTGTAACAATAACAAAGTTTAACATCAATTATTCTGTAGCAATTACACAAGAATACCCAGTAATGTCCCTGCCTACAATTAAACACATTCACTTACTGAAAATCATCTGCTGTGGCAAACGGGTGCAAACCTTTGACCACAAACTGAGTCTCTGCTCGGTGACGTTCGTCTATCCTGCCTGAAAGGAGACGCTACGGCAGACTGCAGCGAGAACTGCCAGCATCTCAGCCAGACTCTGTCTCTCTCATCATGGTCACTAAATGCACAGTAATGGTTTTGTAATAAGGCAGATCGCGCTAACATAATATGCACTGTTGTTGATTATTGACCTGCCGCATTAACGGGAGAGGACGTGCAAACGTTACCGCTGCTGCTGGGTTGAGATTCACGAGTCCGGAGCGGAATTAAAAACACGACATTCATTTAAGGTCATCGCGTGTTTTGTGAGCAAATGCTTTTGCATGTTCGTAGTGTTTCCTCCCTTAAATGAAATCTCTACTTTGCAAGTATTGCAAGTTGCCCTGTTGTCATCCGTTCTCATAAAGTATAACCAAACTTTTGAGCGTTTGAGCCGCCGTGTTTCCTGCCAGGTAAATGACGCTCCGCAACGTGGTGACGTCATTCGGGGCGACTGGAATCGATAAGGGAATCGTTTGCAAAAATGGCAAACGATTCCAAGGAATTGAGACAGTGGGAACCGGTTCTCAACAAGAACCGGGTTTCAATACCCATCCCTAATCATCATGGGGTGAAGTTCAATGACGAGGTTCTCAAACTGCCTCAGTAATAAGGCTGCATGCAAAAATAAAATACTGTTTAATACCAATATACAGTTTCCAAATATGGGTGGTGTGACCATCAGCAAAAACCAGCTTCCTCTGAAGAATCACTTGCACTGAAACATAAAACAGACAACTGACTACTAAGTCAGTGATGGGAAATGAGGCATGATAGGAAATAAGGGGTGTGGCTACAGTTAACTATACTACTGGACTCCCCCGTCCGTGCAGGTTCTCTGGAGCTATAAATTAGTGGCTTTAGATGGGTCATTTTTCTTTTCTGGCCCTAAACCGCACGTCGGCTCAATGAACTAAACTTCGAGAGTCTCTGTTATAAACTGTGTCTTCTGCACCTTAATTGAAAGTCTGGAAATATTAGTTCAATGTGGAAAACTTTTCTGTCTGTTAGGCCAAAAACTAGGGCACACCTGAAATAGATGTACTAGGTAGGCTGGGACAGAAGCAAAGAGGAGGACAAAGAGAGAAGGAAAAAGCTGTCAGCTGACAAAGTCACAGAGGCATGTGGGAGACTTTCACTCCTGTGCTTCGTACATTGGTGTAAGACTACTAATGAGGCCGTTATTCACGGAGAAATTAAGCCAATTAATGCCATAATTAGTCATACTAGTTTTTTTAATACTTGCAAAACCGAGTGTAATCTAACCCGAGCTTATGAATCCTTTCGCTGTCAGGCTTTTAATTACCCTGTTTTTTCCTCTTACATGTCATGTTAGAGGATGACTCATGACATGATGTATAGTTAGTGGCGGTGAACACACAAGGCGAGACGCTGTAAACACCTGGCACCGGCTCGGGGAATCTGTTAAACGAAGCGTTTGAGTTTTTGTGTTCGCACAGTTGTGGTTCGCAAACAGACACAAGACCTAGATTTTGGAGGACTGCACGGGAGCACGTCTGTGGGCGACTTTTGCCGCTTGTTATCTGAAGAGAGACGTGTCCACAGGCGCCTGCACGTTAATTTCTGTGTGCAAAGACAGATACGGGTGAAATGTGAAGACTGAAGGGAAATAACATAACTGGACTTTTCCTTTTGCAGCATTTTTTTGCATATAAAAATATTCAGGTTCCCACCAAAGATTTTGGATTTTGATTTTCCACCAACAGATAAATCGCCAGGACTGGGACAAACATATTTATAGCTACTTTTTTTTTTTTTTTTTTTAAAGTGGGTTTGAAAAGCTTTTATTTTTCTTTATAAACCAGCCAAAAGTAAAAGGAAATGCAGAACAGATGAAAAGAAGTGACAGGGAGAGTCATTCAACTTGCAATCTCTGACATTCACCAGAAAAATGTGTTTTTTAAATAAAATAAGTTTCCTCAAACCAAGTTGCCAAAAATCACTGATGCCCATCAACAGCATCTGCCACATAACAGTTATTTTAAATAAATAAAGTCTTAACATAATAACTAGTAACTGCGAGTTAAAAGCCATTCATCACCATCATCTCAGCCTAGAAGCAGAATTTAAATGAGACTGCTTGAAAGCTGAGATCTAAATAAAAGACTGGTATCTATTGGTAACAAGCACTTCCTGTTTGTACCTGATGCACAACAGAGAGGCACGACTGTCTGTGGAGAATATGAATGAGAAGCTGGGTCAGTCATAGCTGTGATCCAGCTACCACAGGTGACCAAGTTCAGTTAGAGATCTTTGCACGTGCCCTGCAGCGTTACTCCATTTAAAGAGGTTTTCAAGACACTTACCCAGAAGTTGTTCTGAAATAATGCCATCTTCACTCAGAACGTCACAGCAATCTGTAAGAAAGAGGGAGAGCCGCATTAGAGAAAAGTGTGACGTCTAGATTCTCTCCCCCCCTTCTCTCCACATGCTGGAGAGGAAAATGACCCAGAGGATGTTTTGTAACTCTATCAAATGTGGAAATGTCAAAGATTCTCCTCTGCCCTGTGACAAACTATCAAAGTGTCAGCAAAACGCATGTAAACGATTTCAGCAAAGTCCAGCTTTGTAGAAACTCTTGAGACACTTTGAGCGTAGGAAGGGAACTCCTGAGGGAGAGCAGAGAGGAGCTTCACAGATGACTTCAAAGGATAAATTCAGAGAATGAAGGGAGGAGGGGTGACACGGGAGAGATGGGGGAGGAAAGAACGGGGAGGAGAGAGAGAGCGATCGATGGAGTGAACGAGGCAGAAGAGACCAAGGTAACCTCCACGGAAAGAAGAAAAAAAAAAGACGTGCATGTGCTGCACTTCATCGCAGCACAGCTACTGGTGCATTTAGGTTTGAACATGCATGCAGCAAACACTCTGCTTATCTGCTCAACATTTCTGGATTGCAACAGTTTATTACAATTTATTACCGACACACAAGCCCTGTCACACATGCCAACGCACGTCTGTGCGAGCGGTCGAACAGGAAAATCAAAGATCGCACGACATCAGAACAACATGTGACCCCCATCGCCTCAGAGCTTAAATACGACTTGTCGTGCGTCCACCGTTTTCACGAGAGGTTTATTTTTAATTTGCTGGTGACAGGAGGAAGTGCACTGCAGCAGCAGAGCAACATGCACCTTTTAAGCCCCTGCATACACAATTATATCAAAGAAACACAAACACTTTAATGCAACGTGTACACAAAGCATCCTGCCCTTTGCAAGAGAATCCATAATGGGGCAAGAGTTTCCCCAGGGCTCACGCAGGGTTCCTGTTATCTGTTATTCTGCTGACTGTGTGTGTGTGTGTGTGTGTGTTTGTGTGTGTGTGTGTTTGTGTGTGTGTGTGTGTGTGTGTGTGTGTGTGTGTTGACAACAGCCCTCTCCTTCTATTGGCACAGATTCAGCTCAGTCCTGGTGACCTGGCATAAGACAACAGCCACACATGCAGAAACCAACACAGCAAGCCCTAGAGTGTGCATGCACACACACACACACACACACACACACACACACACACACACACACACACACACACACACACCTGAAACTCCTCACACCTCAGTAATTAGCTCAGCAGCAGGACTGGAGGCCTGCAGACAGCTTTGTGTTGGGCAGAGGAGGAGAGCCCACAGGAGGGACGGAAATACTGCGGAGCAGCAGCTGCACGACTGATATCAATGCTTAGTGTATCGATTTCCAGCGAAACTACACTTTGCCAATATTTTCATATCTGCTGTACAGTGTGGAAACCAAACAAACTCCTGAAGATGATTAATGACCGACTACTGCAGCGCTGCCACCGTAAGATTCATCATCTTTGGCCTTTAATATGGGCGGAGTCAGCGGTGGAGGTCATACACCAGCACATCAATCAATTTATTTAATAAAAACCCAACAACTTCTCGTCAGTACCTCAAATGATTATCACTGGCCAACCTCGATATTTATAAAACGCTATCCTAACCTTTCAGAGAAATGCTGGTCCTCGTTGTCAGAATATTTTACAGGTTTTAACCCACTACTAATAAATCCTGCCTGAGCAGATTTCCACGGCAGCCGTGCAGCGGGACGGCAGATCTGACCAGAGCACCAGATGGTTTTTAGGCAAGCAGAAAGGGGGGCAAAGGGAGCACACCAGATAAAAACAGACGCGTCACAAAGACACCGAAACCTGCTCGTAGATCTGAGTTAATTACATATACTTTTAGCTCTAATCCTCACAGTCCTGACGCAGCACAAAGCAGAGGCACAAAGACACCATACCCACGGTGCTGGCATGTATAGAAGTAGCTGACATCCAGCATTCTCCGCCTGGTTCCAACTAAACGTTGAGCTGAAATCAGCTCTGGGGCAAACAGAGCCCTGGGAAGAAGTGGGACACTCTGTGACCCTGATTCCTCAAACTCCAGATCATTTTTTATTCAGGAAATAAATGTGGGCGCAGTTTTTGGTCCTGCCATGTGCAACATCTACCGACTGCTCGCACAAGCAGCGAACATGCTGAAACGCGTTATGCACCGATTAAACGCTTGACATTTGGAAACGTGAGTTGCTGTAATGTCACAGTGTGGGTGTGAGACTCACGCCTGACACTTTCTTATGACATATCGATAAAGTTTCACTGATCGCATCTACTGAATGCGTGGTGTTGAGCAGGGTGCAGCACCACCGGACCCACCCGGGATTGAAAGCTGCCGACTTGTACAAACACTTCTCAGTTTCTCTCCAGACTGTAGTGAAGCTTGGAGAAAGTAAGAAACAACCAGAAACAGAGACCGTTTGCCTTCACAGTAAAAGCTGTGCACACATTTCAAACTTTTATTGTGAAGGTGAGCAGACACCGTTTCTGGTTGGCGTCGCACTTTTCGAAGTTTCAATGCAGAATAGCGAGTAGTTTACGAGTGTCTGCAGACACGTCAGCATCTTCCGTGCAAAATACAGGCAACTCCAGGAGTCTGCTGGCAACCACAGCGATCGCAAGGTTTTCAGTGCAGCACCGTACACAAATCATTTCACACTAGTCACTGCGAGCAACCTCCAGCAACCACTCGTCAACTATTCACAGCTTGCAAAAAATTCACTGACCAGTCTTGTGTCCACTGTGGGCGGGGCCTAAACCTTAGCTTTACCTGAGCATGTCAGTAAGAAGGCAAAAGTCCTCTGTGTCCTCTCGAGTGACTTATATTACTGGATACTAGTAGGACTGTAGAGTACAGTGAGAGGAGGTACAACTGTGCACCCTCCTCAATAATGGTTCTAAACCTAAAAATCATATAAATATATAAGATCATCGCACGTTTATAACATTTCACTAATGAAAAGCATGCTGGGTAATGCTAGGCAGTCAGGTAGCACGACAGTCTGTGAACAGCTGAGCAAACTGTAGCGGCAGATCAACAGGAGACCAGAGATGGATCAAAGAAACTTGTGACAAAGACAGGAGCTGCGTCTGCTGTCGGCAAGTTCCCCGGCTTTATAAAATCAGACTCTGGCATCTCGTCCACAAACGCCAAGGGGAACGAGGCGAGGCAAATCTAACGGATGTTCTTCCTGACAGAGCGACGTGTCCGTGTGAAGTTCTGCTGTGGAAACATTGACACCAACGGGCCAAATGTTTTCTGTTTAGCAACAAAAGAAGCCACCTGTCAAGGACCAACGTTGTAGTCATATGTCGAACAATCATGTGGTTTTATTTTATTTTTAATGTTGCCATTAAAGAGCGTTATTATTCCACACAGTCCTTATACATTTATAAAAGCTCAATTATGCAGAAATCATGTTAATTCTAACCTCCTTCGACTTTATGAAGCAACAGTCTTAAAAAATACTGTGATACAAATTTTCTCATAGTGTGAAACACTAAAGTTGGGCCACAGTTTCCAAGTTTTTTCCCCTCAACGAACCAAACTTTGTAGAATATGAATGTTTGGTCACTGATGCCGAGGTGATATTAGGTTAAATATTAGGCCGCTGGATCTGCAATAGTCAAACCAAACTAACAGCAATATCACGATCTGCTGCATCCAATATTTTTAATTGATTTGTGTTAGTGTTTTATTATCTTGGAGGATTGCACCAAAATATGTGGCAAAATTCAAAAATAGGCAACGGTGCTCATGTTCTCAGATTCCTTCAATCTCGTCCTGCTCTTTGGGACAATAAAGGTGGCTTAACCTCCTGAGACACGAACTCTTCCACAGCAGCAGTTTTAATTTCTCTTTGATATTTGGGCTGATTGGGACCTGATGAATGTAAAAACAAAGAACGACCAGATTTATTTTTTTTACCTAATTTTTGTTTCTAAGAAAAATGAGAGCCACATATGAGGATACTCGTTTACAAGCTTGATAGAACAGTAGCAGCATAACGTCCTCGTAACTGGATATCAGGCCCATGTAGAGCAAAATTGAGTATTTTGGTCTAAATGACCCAAAATGTGATGTAATAATAAATAAATTAACAAATATTTACTCTGAAAATTGGACTGATTATCCACCAATTAAAAACGCACTGAAACCGTTTACATGCCTTTTTCTGAGAAACATGCGATGAAATTATTTTTAGAAATGTTTTTTTGGCAGAACTTCAAACGGCCTTTCATCGGCATCAGGTAATTCTGTTTTCTACACACCCGATCAACCCTTATTTTTGGCGTTGGCACTGCAGGCCGAAGACGAGCAAATGCAGAACGGCAACACAGGCAATGCAACTAAAACTAAACACGAGGAGGAAAATATATCTTTAACAGCCACACAGGGAGGAAATGAAGCCTTATCAATTAAAAACACTCTAACCTCGTCTTCTGCCACCCTCACACTGCCTGACAACACGCAGACGGCTGCCATGAAAAATTAGGCCTTTAAAAAGCAGATGGGAAGGAATGAAATAAGGTCTCATACAGGAACAAGAACTACCCACAGCAGGATATAAATGATGCATCCTCTCCGCCCATACTAAGCATTTCAGTTTTTATTTCCTTTCCCTTTGCCAGCGATGGCTCTACTAGCAGACGTCTCTCTGACAGGAGGGAGGAGGGAAGGAGGGTAAGGGAAGGTCAACCCAAACTCCCGCCTCCTCACCACCTCCACCTGCCTTTCTCCTTCCTTTGCTTGAGAGGACAGAGGAACGAGTCCCCACGTGTCTCCTCGCGCTTTCAGACACCGGCATCCTCATCTGGCTCAAAAAGCAAAATAAAAATGGAACTGGGTTAAATGTAATGACACAGTTGAGCATAAAATAAAGATGCCCTGCTAACCTCGGAGGAGGCGCATTTGTCACAAGCTCTGGGAGCAAAGCAGGTGTTAAAAAACGAGGCAAAGGAACAGAGGAAAGGAAGAAAAAGGACACGTAGTGTGACTA